AAGAAAAGAAAAGAAAAGAAAAGAAAGAAGGAAAGAAAGAAAGAAAACCAACCAGAGTACTAATCTAGACTTTGTCTTTGTTCAAAGAAATGGCTGGTCGTGACTAATGCTATAGAACCTGTTCCCAAACACAAGTAGCCAAACCATTGCAAACATGTGTTGGGTGAAAACAAGTTTGGTTGGCTCCAGACAAAGGCTTATTTTTTCAGCACAGATGGTTGAATGGTTGCCTCCTCCAACGGGCTGCCCGAAAATGAAAGACAGATTTCTATTTCTAATCTATGCAAATATCTTACTCTGCAGGGCATCACAAAGACTAACTGTTTTGTGTCAGACACTGCAGATCCCAGGTGCTGTCAGAGATGCCAAAGCCCATCTCCACCTGAGATGCCTGGTAACTGGGATAACAGCGGATGACTGGAGAGTTAGTCATTAACCCGATCCTAATGAATGTTGTTGGGGCCTTCTGTGAAACATTCCTCTGGAATCCTGCCCCACCACCACTGCTTCCCCTTGGCTGAGCTGCCTGGAAGGCAGTTTCAATATTTGGTTCGGACCTCAGATGCTGCTAAAACCTCCCAAGAAGGCTGAGATTCCCAAAGCCTCCTAAGGACTGTAGCATTCTTCACTTGTGTTCAGCTCATCTGTCCATCTCCAACACCACACTGAGAAAACTCGAGCATTTAAAAATGTTATTCTGTGCAAACCAGGTCTCCTTTATTCTCTAGCCCGTAAGCCTACAGCCTATGGCATGTCTCGCTGAATCACACCTGATCGTGGCTGGTGGCCCTCAACCTTCCCAAATATACGTAATTCCTTTTTTCCTTTCTTCCTATCAACTTTTCTTTCGTCTCTTACATTTTTTTTTTTCTCGTATTCCTCTATCTTCCCAGCTTTTTTATCTTTTACTCACTCTGACACTCCTTGGCACATTCCTTCCAGTTTTAGGGCCCCTTGGGGGCAACAAAAATTTCTGCAATGCTGCAAACATACACACTCAGGCACAGACAAAATGCTGCATGCTAATCCAACTCCTAACCTGCAACATTCTTTGCCGTGAAGAGTTGGTTAGACCTGAAATCTACATAATTTAGTTCCAGTGTTTAAATCATAAAGTATCTTTCAACGTTTAAAAATTTTTGTTTTTCTGATCAAATGTCAGCAACACAGTTTGCTTCAAAATTCTGTATTGGAAAACAATTCTTTCCTTATTAATCTTTATCTGAAATAAACCAAGCTAAAAGCAAAAATAAATTCTAAAGGAAAAAAGAAAAGTCCTTCCTAAATCCCACACTTAGTAACAACTGCTACCAAAACTTTTTACTCTATACCTCCCTCTCTGAAATTTAAATACCTTTTGTTTTAGTCTATGAATGCAATTATTGACAGTCAAACAATGCAGCATTAAGTTTACTTCCCTGGAAAATCTAAAACTGTAAAGAGTTTTAGAGTTTAACTGATTCATTGATTCCTGAGGCTGGACGAGTATCAGAAACACCAGAGTAGTGCTATTCATTTTAAATAACAACATCCTCTTGCTTCTCAGCCCTAAACATTATGACCAGAATTCTGGTACAGCTCTAGAATCATATTTATAATAAGTGCTCCAGGTAACTATGATGCAGTAGGCCCTGGTCTGTTTAAGAACCACTGATCTATTCCAACACCCCGCCCAATATGGCAGCTCTCTCTACAGGATACCACATAGGTTACCCGGTCCACGCGACAACATTCACAGAGACCAGTGCTCTCACCCTTTTGGAAGTGTTGTTCCATTTTTAGATGGCTTAGTTATTAGAAACTGTATTCCTACATTGAGCCAAAAAGTCAAGGTCTTTAGCTCCTTGTACTTCACTTATTGTAGACCCTAATTTTATGCCATAGCTGACACAGAATGCCCCCTCTTACAAGAGTCTGTAAATATCTAAAGCTAGCTACCACAATGCCCTTGTGAGACTTAATTTTTCTAAGCTTAAACAACTTTTTTCTTTTAACTTCATAGAACATAATTGAGTCCTTCTTTATTTCAACTGTTCTTTCTCACCAACAGGCCTTACAGGATAGGACTGTCTAGAGTAATAATACTTCCTTTTTCTTGTAAGTGAAGTAAGTAAAAATACTTCATTTTCTTCATTTTGGAACTTTTTAAAAAATGCACTAATTTCTAGTCTATGTTTCACTCTCATCACTCATTATCTTGCACTTAATGGCCAAGAGTCAAGAATCAGCAAGTATTTATTAACTTAATGCTGTGTTCCTAGCACCGTGTAAGGTACTCAGAGGATTCAAAAGCCAACGGAAATCACATTTTGAGGAGTTAATAATTTCTTGTACAGGAAGAGCTTGGATATGTGAATTAACTTGAAAACGGAATAATGGTATGCAACAGAGTGCTCTAAATGCCTATCATATGAAAGACTGAACACTAGGTTTTTTTGGATCGGGCTGTAAACTAACTCATGGCCTCTGTTTGCAAATATACATCTATTTACAATAGCTTTTGATTAAAAAAAAAAAAAAAGAAAGAAAGAAAATGAAAAAAGAAGACACAAGGTGGCTCATGCCTGTAATCCCAGCACTTCTGAGAGGCCAAGATGGAAGGATCACCTGAGGCCAGGAGTTCAAGACCAGCCTGGAAAATACAGAGATACTTCATCTCTACAAAGTTAGAAAAAAAAATTAGCCAGGCTTGTGGGCACATGCCTGTAGTGCCAGCTACTCTGGAGGCTGAGGCAGGAGGATTACGGGAGTCCAGAGGTTTGTGGCTGCAGTGAGCTATGACTGCACCACTGCACTCCAGTGTGGGTGACAGAGCAAGACTGTGTCTCACCAAAAAATAGAAAAGAAAAGAAATACATAAACCAAATTAAAGAAAGAAAGCAGAGGCTGGGCGCAGTGGCTCATGCCTGTAATCCTAGCACTTTGGAGGCCAAGGCAGGCAGATCATTTGAGGTCAGGAGTTTGAGACCAGCCTGGCCAACATGGTGAAAACCTGTCTCTATTAAAGATAAAAAAAATTAGCCAGACATGGTGGCATGCGCCTTTAATCCCAGCCACTCCGGAGGCTGACATGAGAATCGCTTGAACTTGGGAGGTGGAGGCTGCAGTGAGCCAAGATCATGCCATTGTACTCCAGCCTATGTGACAGAGCAAAACTCTGTCTCAAAAAAAAAAAGGAATGAAAGAAAGCAGAATATTGCCTTAAAATGTACTTAAAAATTTCAAGTGCATCCTTATATCAGAGATTTAAAATCTAAAACTACATAAAAATCAGGTAGAATACTCTCCCTTCTTATAGGCATGTCCCTGGCAGTGCTTCCCAAGCATTCAGGATGACAAGGTCCGGGTAAAAGGCAAAAAGCAGAAGGTTTATATGATTCCTTTTCCTAACAGAAATATCCATTCGATGAGTAGACTGCCCAAGTATTTCAATGGAAAACTCTTACCAATAAATGAACTATACCAACATCAAAAGAATGCACTTATTCCATTCACTGAACATGCTTTATGAACTTACACAAATTCCTTACTTCACAGATGAGAGGGGAAAACATCGTTTCAAAGGCAGCACGAGATTTCTCCGAGATAAAGCAGACATTGAGTAGCTGGGTGGGGCCAGTACCTGGTTCCCCAGGCTACTGCTGGCTTCTTGTCTCCTTTTATTTAGTAGGGACAATCATCAAAACTCTTGCTCTCTTAACATTTTCCTCCTTAACTTTACTCCCACCTTTAGTTAAATGTCCAGACTTCAAATCCAAAGTCTGATGATGGTACATTTTGTGTGGGGATATTTTTAGGAAAAGGATGGACAAAACAGAATTAGGTAGTTTTGTTTTCTGGTTTTTGTTTTTTTTTTTTTTGAGACAGGGTCTCACTCTGTTGCCCAGGCTGGAGTGCAGTGGCATGATCACAGCTCACTGCAGCCTTGAACTGCTGGGCTCAAGTGATCTACCCACCTCAGCGTCCCAAGTAGCTGCAACTGAAGGCACAAGATACCATGCCCAGCTGGTTTTTGTATTTTTTTTCTTTTTGTAGGGACAGGGTCTTGCTATGCTGCCCAGGCTGGTCTCAAACTCCTTGCCTCAAGCTACCCTCTCACCTCAGCTTCCCAAACTGTTGAGATTACAGGCATGAGCCACCACACCTGGCCAGGTGATTAATTTTTTAAATTAAATTCTTGCATGCCTATTTTACCTGCAGTCTAAAGATGAAATTCTACCTGGTTCAGGATCTCTACTGCCTTACGAGCATTACAGAAAACTGCTGCAGTTAGCTACAGGGATTCAACCAAAACTCTAAATCTGCAAAGCAATGAATAAACAATCCCCAACTATTTTACCCTCTCCCCCACCACACACTCGCACCCACACCCACACACCCCTAAATCAACCAGCTCATCCACTTCACTGGAAGCCTCACAGTTAGTCAACACCCTTATATGGACCACAGGGGGAAATGCACCTACCTTGTGGCCTCTTGCTGAAGCCATGACACATTTGGCACATAGAACATGACTCCAAAGAAAAGCAGAGGCTCATTAGCAAATTTGTCCAGATGTTTCTTCAGAGGTTTCTCCAGCTCCACCCATCGTGCTTGCTGGCTCTTGCTGAGAAACCACAGGCCAAAGTAGTGCGTCTAGATAAAAGGGTAAAATAACATCAGTTCATGCTCACCACAAGCATCCCAAAGCTACTCAAGAAACAAGACTCCAGCACGCTGCATCACACCTTGGGTTCCCCAGCCTATATACAAGATCCAGCTTTGACATCTGACTTTGGGACAGATTAAAAGAAACCGCAATGACACACTACTGCAGTGTACATGGAGTATCCAGATGCAGTATCCCTACTCATTACTACTATTTGTGCTTATAGATACCAACGTGCCTATGCGAGGTAAGGGGAGTCACACAGGGAAGGGCCAGTGCTGACTCTTCCGCTGACATCTGAAGGCTGCCTTTTCTGTGTGCCTCCTGCACGCTTCGTGATCTCACATGGAGCACACTGGCAAAGGCCAACGCTGCTCTTGCACCTGCTGCAAAGTAACTTATTACTCAATTCCTAAGACAAAACTGCCTGCCAGCCGAAAGCTTCTGCACTGTAGAGTATTTTCACACAGTACCAGATTGTAACTGAGAATTTATTCACTCTTTTCGTGTGCTTTAAAAAGTATCATCCTCTTCCACTTTATTATACACGAACTGCAGCAAATCTCTCCCCATATCAAGCTTTGAGAGAGGAAGGATTGCCTCTTCACAGCTGTGGCAGGAGCCCTGGTGGCTGTTCTTGGCAGATTACGGTGGGATTTGATAGATGAAAGTGAGATTTTCACCCTTAGACTTGAAGCCTAAAGCAGTTTCGTTCTGAACAACATGCTAAATGATTAAAACAGGTACTTCTACGCACCCAATCCCATCTTTTATATTAATTCATGCTAGGATTTCAGGATTAGCACAACAATCACCAAAAAATAGATCACTGCTTTTGAAGATTCTTTTATATTTCAATTACAGCCTAGAACGGTTTACAGCACACCTGGAAATCTGCCTTCAAAAGAATGTTTTCATTACAATGTTTAATTTCCAAAGGCATTCTTATGCCGATGTTCCCACTCCAGCTGGCTGCCCCCTCAACACGACCACAGATCAATCCCTGCCACAACCCCACCAACATTTCTAATGAAGCTTTAACTCTGACTTTACTAGAAAACCAGACGTGCCCTTGCCTACATAAAGCTGCAGACCCAGATGCTTTAGAGGCTATTTTAAATGGATCTACTTTGAGATGGGGGTAATGGTTTGATCAGCTTTCCCCCATGATGTTCCAAATGACAAGTTCATACCAGAAATCTATGCATTTCTTGAGGAACAAAATGCTAACAGAGCCAAAGTTATATTTCTGTCAACTTAGACAAACTAACTTGGATGAATTCTGACCCCATTATTCATTTCCTAGCTCCAGTGAGTCCATTAGTTGTTCCAACCTGAGTGACGACAAGAGGAAATAAAATATGGCTGAAAAGAAAGAAAACAGACTTCGAAGTCAGTCCATCTCCCCACTTTTGCACTCACTGTCTCAGTAACTTTACACAAGTCATTGAGCCTTCTATACCCTCAGTTTTCTTCTCTGTAAAATGGGGATGATGATTACAACTCTCACCCACAGGCTCTGAGAGGTGTAAATGAGATCATGCCTGTCAATCACCTGCATGGCACACGGTAAGTCACTCATTCATAAGCGGTACCTTCTACTGCTGCTGTGGCTGCATGACTACTACTCCTGTTACCCCCGCCACCACCATCACCAAAAAAATGAAAGCAGGCAAACCTCATGAATCTTTTTCATCAGCACCACTGACATCTCTATGAAACAGAGAATTAGAAAACAGAGGTTATCTGGGAGTCAATGAGAAAGAGCAGGCAAAGGTAAAAGCTGGGACATCTATAAATAACATAAATATTTAAAAGATGTAAGAAAAAAAAGTCAGAAAGCTACACTTCCACTAAGATTTTGAGGATCTCATAATAGGCGATAATGCGACACTGGAACATCACTCTGACGGCATCCTCTGAGATCTATGACGTAGACTTAAGCTAATGTTAACATGAAGTCATTTGGGTATTCAATTCAAGCAACTTGCCTGAAGAGGGTCCAAAGTAGTTCTGCATTATACTGAATTCCTTTATGGAACACAGGGCCATATGAGGGTATTCCAAAGTATTTTGAAGCCTAGGAGTGAGTCTCCATATGATAAATTAGGTAATATATGTAATTAATGTGCTATGCAGCAATTATTAAAGTTGGAAAAGAGCCCTTTTATAAGCATGAGTGGAGCAACAGAGGGCAAGCTTCACAATTGCTTAACAGGCTAACGATGATTTATTATCTTTCACTAAAAGTAGTTTTGACATTTGGGAGATATTTTTATGGAGATATTTTATATTTCATTCAAATTAGTAACATTCAAATTACAGAGGACCACAGTAACTGCATAAATGTTCTACAATCGATTTTGAAAAACAGTTAAAAATTTTATTGCTTCTATTCCTTGAAAGCTACTATTTTAAATTTCCTTTTCTCATTCCCGTCCATCCAGATCATTAAACCAGGCCTGACTTCCACCCCAGAAAACACTCAGAGAAAGAATACTCCATGGAGTACACACACACAAACATGTATGTGCACGTATACAATATAAAACACATACAAAACGCACACTACAGACACACACACACACACACACTCCTGTGCATACACACATATGCATATGTTTAGAAGAAGAATGATGAGGTATAAGAGAAATGACAGTAAGGCAATAATCTTGAACCACAGCTCTAAATAACAAAGCAAACCACTTCTAAAGAAAAAACCTAACTCATGACATAAATTTTTCATTGCCGTGGTACGGCATCTTCCAAAGGTCACAGAATATTTCAAGGTGACTCACCAAGTAATTATCCAATGAAATAATTACATAACTACTCAAGAAATGGGGTTTCCAGTGTGTAGGCAGAACTGGGGGAGGCAGGTAATCTGGACAACAGAGTCTGTACCAACTCACGGCCAGAATGTCCTACCTTTAGAATTGTGAAATTCAGTTCTCTAGCTGGAAGAAAAGTCAATTTATGAGATCCCCATTCCCACACTGACTTTTGAAGCTATGCCCAGAGTAACTTTTCCATTCCCACCCTATTCCTCTTGTTCTTCCTCTAGCTATTTCCTACTCTGGAGTAGAAAGACTCTGCCTCAAAAGTACAATACAGCACACATTTATTCTCCTACATCCACACAGTGCCTCATAGGAAACAGAATCAGAGCCTAAGGTCTTGTTTCAACTAGCATGTGCACCAATCAACTTCCTGTATATTATCCAAGGAACTATTAGTCCCATCAAGCCCAGCTGAGACCCCACCAGGCTGGTTCCTGGTTGACTTGCCAATTGAAACTCTAGCTCAATTTTGGAGCTGAGCTTAGCTGCTAAACATTGCCACATGGTGGAAGAAAGCGTGCTGGATGACCACAAATAGAAACCACCTTCTTCATGACACCAAGAAGATCCCATCACATTACCTGAGTATATGCCTGAAATATTTGTTCTGCTTATATCTCAGGCACCAAATGTAAGCCAGACTCATTTAATCCTCACGATACCTCCTCTGGATGAGGTATGAATCCCATTTTATTGCTCTAGTTTTCTTAAGAAAACTAGAAGACACAGCTCTGGTGCCATGAGTCCTGCAGTAAGTTTACTGCAATGATAAGAAAAGAAGCCAGAAGAACCAGTCCTCAAGGACAGGAACCACATCTCTGAGCAACGACAAAAAAATGCACTACGATGAAACCAAGTAGGGAAAGCCACACTAAAATGTCATTTTTATGTGAGCAGCTTCCTCATTTGTTTGGTTTGGGGTATTGCATTTTAACACAGGAAACATACATTTAAGCATATACTGAAAATTCTGCTAGTTTTTCAATGGCAGATTCATGTGTGGATCCTACAGTGTCAAAATGGCCATCTTTGGTATTATGAAAAGATTCTGGAGAATAAGGGCCCTTCGAAGGAGTTTGGGGGGCAGGGAGCATATGGGAACCCTCTGTACCTTCTGCTCAATCTTGCTGTGAACCTGCTGTAAAGAAAGTAAGTCTATGAAAAAATAGTTGGGGATGGTTTTGATTTGTTTGTTCATTTATTTGTAAAGAGATGGGATCACCCCTCACATTAGCTATTAAAAGGAAAATATTTTTTGAGGGTTTTGTTTTTCCAGTTTTATGAACAATGGCACAGACTTTAATGCTATTTGTAAGAGGTTCAGAGGCAGTCTTGGCAATTACTAAGGATTAAAACCATGATCTTATCTCAAGCATTTTGAAGAGTTACTCATCCAGAAGCAAAAGTTTAAAATACCTTGCATTAACTTGTAATAGGGTGCCTGTCTTACCCAGTATTTCAGCTGTAAATTAAGAAACAGTTGGTGTGCTTCCACATAAAATACATGAATTACATATGACACAAGCACAAACAGCTTAAAAATACTTCAAAAGATGACTATAAGCAGACTCTGAAATAGCGCTTCATGCAATTACATTCCAATGGCTTTGGAAAATAAGCCACTATACATCAGTTGGATAACGGTAGAAAAGAACTTGTGTGTAATCAACCTCTACTCTGGGTAGGTCTGAGATTTCTATAACCGACACATCTATAATTAACAACTGCACCCTCTTCATTTTCCTAGCCAATCGCTTTATGAAAGTACAGGAAAAGAAACTGCCGAGTAACGCAGACCCAAGAAGCAAGTCCTATAGCCAAGAAAAACCACTCTTCTGTGACTGTACAGCTCACCTAGAATATATAGAAAGATGAAGACATACAAGTTAAGACTGGTGAATATTCACCTACAATCTCTATACCTAGAAAATGGAGATGCTGGTGCCGTTACTGACATTAAGCTAATAATGTTTCACACTATAATTTTTTTTTTTTTTTTTTGAGACGGAGTTTCACTCTTGTTACCCAGGCTGGGGTGCAATGGCGCGATCTTGGCTCACCGCAACCTCCGCCTCCTGGGTTCGGGCAATTCTCCTGCCTCAGCCTCCTGAGTAGCTGGGATTACAGGCACATGCCACCATGCCCAG